TTGGTGGAGAGATAAACAGCGCTAACGTTATCGCAGAAGATGAGTGTGGCACGGCGTAGGGGTTGCTGTACCTCTAATAGGAGATTTCGGATCCAGCTGGTCTCGGCAACGGCATTAGCGACGGCTCGGTATTCAGCTTCAGCACTGGACCGGGAAATGGTGGCTTGACGCTTGGAGGACCAAGAGATGAGGTTGTCCCCAAGGAAGACACAGTAGCCTGATGTGGATCGTCTGGTGTCGGGGCACCCTGCCCAATCGGCATCGGAGTATGCCTGAAGAGAATCTGTGCTAGACGGAGAAAAAGTCATACCATAGGTGGAGGTGCCGCGGAGATAGCGTAGTACCCGCTTCATAGCTGTGACGTGGACATCTCGAGGGGCGTGAAGGTGGAGACAGAGCTGCTGAACAGAGTAGGAGATGTCTGGCCTAGTAAATGTGAGATACTGGAGGGCTCCAACGATGGAGCGATAGAGGGCAGGGTCGGCTACCAAGGAACCCGATGTGCCAGATAATTTAGCCTTCGTGTCGACGGAAGTGGAGATGGGACGACACGTGATCATACCGGCACGCTCAAGAATGTGGTGAGTAAACTGTGTCTGATGTAGAAAGAGACCATGAGCTGTCCGATGAACATTGATACTCAAGAAGAAATGAAGGTCACCCATGTCAGTCATAGCAAATTCCCCCTTAAGGCGCTCTGTCAAGCGCCGAAGAAGAGAGTCAGAGGAAGCTGTGAGGACAATATCATCAACATAGAGAAGTAGGTAGGCTGTATTTGTCCCATGAGAGTAGATAAAGAGAGAGGTGTCAGACTTACACCCTCGAAACCCCAGTGTGTAGATGAATCCGGCAAATCGTTGGTACCATGAGCGGGGTGCCTGTTTCAAGCCATAGAGAGCCTTTTTGAGCCTGCATACATAATTGGGCCTGTGAGGGTCCTGAAATCCAGATGGCTGAGAGGCGTAGACAGCCTCCTGCAGATGGCCATGAAGAAAGGCATTTTTAACGTCCAACTGATGTATTGGCCATCCTCGAGAGAGAGCAAGGCTGAGAATGATACGTATGGTGGCTGGCTTGATCACAGGGCTAAATGTCTCATCATAGTCGACTCCGAATCTCTGGTTGAAGCCCCGAATAACCCATCGAGCTTTGTACCTGGTTAACTCACCTGTAGGGCCAAGTTTGTGCCTAAAAAGCCATTTTCCAGTTATGATGTTTTGGTGAGGGGAGGGGGGGTACTAATTCCCATGTGTCATTCTTGATCAATGCATTAAATTTCTCACACATAGCATTGTGCCAATTGGGGTCTTTGAGAGCACTACGGTAGGTGAGCGGGAGAGGGGAGATGGGAACAGTGGTGTTGAGGTTAAGGATATGTTTGGGACAGGTTATGCCAGTTTTGGAACGCGTGACCATAGGGTGCTGATTTGTGGTGGGTGGATGTGGGCCGTGGGGTGTGGGTTGTGGGGGGCTGGGCTGATCTTGTAGCAGGTTGGG